GGTTGCTGGGGGTGGACTCCTCAATTCAAGGCTGCCAGCGGATCACACGACTTCTCTCATATGGTAGTCGAAGCTAGACACAGGGCAGCATTCGAGTAGTTCACGTTGCTTCATGTTTAACTTTCAATTTCATTCTCAATTTTGCAACCTACAACTCAAGTCTCCGACTACAACTCAAGGCCACCAAGTTCAGTTTCCACGTTACCACGTGACAATACATGTATTTGTTTCCGTGTTGAAACTGCAACTTCATGATGCACTCACAGTAGTTCCGCACATTTCTGTTTAGCTATTCGTCGCAACATATTTCCAGGATTCGTCTTGCACATGTACTATACATGCAATTCCTATTGAAATCGTCTCCTCTCACTGAACAAGAATTACAGTCACAAAAGAGCGTGTATCTACCGTACCATCATCTGGACAACGAACCCCAGGAATCAAGTTCTTTATTTAAAAAAAAACATTATTTGAATAGTTAGGTCCTAGTTACACTCTCCATTTCCAATCGAAAACTAACTGTACACACAGCCTGTAGGTAGGTTACATGTACGTGCTTTTAGGTTTTTGGACTTCCGTGGCCCCAGCTGCACAAACATAAGATATCTCGTCGATTGGTTGTCAAAATGTGCCGGCTGGCATACCGCAGGGATAGTGTCGCTTCTGTAACATGGGCCACCCATCAGCTTCAAAAATGGCGTTACTGTCGCAATGCTCGCTCAAATATGATCGAGCGAGAATCGATGCTTCGCCAAGCTGGAAGGTTCAAATAGGAACTTCCAACTCGTAATTCTTCTTTTCAATCGTTTATGGTATTATCCACTGGACAAGCCATCTCTTATGACCATGCTTATTACCTATGTGTACTTGCAAGTGCTACCGATACTTGGCAGCTTACAAATCGTAATGCACTATGAAGTGCGAACAGTGAAGTTTTCCAGCTGGGAGTCCACATTTGTGGATCAAGTCGTCATCGACTACTGCAAAGCACACGACAACCTCTCGACCGAGTGGCTAGAATGGCACGCTTGATGGCTCAATCACAGCTGTGGCCCTTCTTATCAGCTTTTTGGCTGTAGTCGCGTGTTACGAATACCGACTCGACGGGACACGTTGACACGGCAGCTGGGGACATGGAAGTATATGTAGATCGAGAAGCGGATCTTTTGATCATGATGAGGTGCTGTATCTACTGGCTAACGCTAGTGTATGCTGTACGGACGGAGTTGTCTTGGACGGTAGAAAACTACCCCTCCAGCCATTTCCAATTCCTACGCCTCAAGCGAAAGTCGACATCTCCCGGATCAAAGATGATTGCTCCTTCCAGTATCCTCGCTCTCGCCTCGTTGGTGGCTTCCGTGCACGCTCACGGTTACATTTCCAAGCCCAAGGCAACCTACCAACCCAACACCCCGTACACCAACTACAACGCCATTACGACTGCTGGTGTAAACAAGGGCTTCGCCGGCGGCAAATACGATGGAAGTCCCTCGCAGAACACGCAAGTATTCACCGAGCACTGGAACGCTACGGGTTACAAGTCACTTCGTGATATGACTGACCCCATCGCCACA